AGACTGAATTGTATATTATTTTTCGCTTATTTCTTAGATATTTAATAGCACTTCTAATGCATTATTCTAGTGATGCCTTCATTATGAGTTCTGTTAGTCCATCTGTCATTGCTAATGAGTCCCGAATTTCGAAACCAATTTAGAGAAGAACTTGAAAGCGTGGAAAAAATTAATTCATGGTTAAATAGAAAGTAAGTAATGTTAAGTTTCAAGCATCTATTGACCTTTGACCGCTTGTGTTCTATTCCTATGAGGCTCCATGTAGGTGCGACACAAAACTATTAATAGGAGAAAAAGGAGTAATTTATCCAGTTAAATGGTAAACTTAAGGTCTCTTATCGGAATAAGTGCCCTCAGCTAATGCTGGGAGTTGAAAGCGGAAAATTTTGTCCTGTCGGTCATACTTGTCGGGTTATGCAATTTGGATGGGGTCGTGTAACTGCGGAGGTAATACAAATCCCACCTGGGATGTTAAGGCTAGGTGAAAACTGCAGTCAAATCCAAGTAAGAACGGCCTTTTGGAATGCAAGTCAAACCAGCTCATCATTCGTCGTGGGCAGAATTGTTATCATTTTAATACAAAAGAGCAGAAGAATCTGTTACACCTCTAGAACAAGAGGATTTGTTTTAGCTCATTTTGTCCGAGACACTTCGGAAAGCGTACCAAATACTGCTTTTGCAGTCGTGTGTTCTCCCAGCATAGAGCCGTCGACTGGATACATTCCCAGACGATTTACTGACATCATCATTAAGCCTTCCCAGCCTTTGAATCATACTAGAACTCGAAACAACGTCTGTTAGAGGCAGTCTTCTTAAAAAATCTTATGTAATATGATTTATGCATCTATCTGAGGTGTATTCACCCTATTTCGTTTTAGGATGGTAAGGTGATTGGTAGTTGAATTTTTTCACAATGATATGAGTAGACATGACGCTTCCATAGAATCACTTCTACCCTCTGTCTTGGTGCCTCTTCTACCCCATGTTGGCGCATACATATCCCGGGTTCCCGATTCAAATAGCCAATTTTCGTCTCCAAACACACGAGGAAGACACACGCACAAAAGTTTAAGGCCACTGGTAAAGACGACCAGAGGGAAAGCTCTCACCAAACAGAGTTAGACGTCAATCTTTTCAACATAAAGTTTGGTGGCAAGGCTCAGCAAGACAATTTTTCAATAACAATTTAGTCACCCTAAGTTGCCTAGTAGCATGTTGCCATAGTGAGAACGATCCAGTTTCAAATCCCATGAGGCCTCTCACAGCATAATTAGAAAATTCCACAATCGGTCCTAAACTCTTCGTAGGCCTCCTAAGATGATTAGACTAACTATGTAAGCGTTACTGATAGTTTCCAAGCAGACTCATGACGAAAATGTCAAAGGCCTCGTCGCCATGATGTATTGCATCATGAACGCAATCGTCATTACAGTCGTAGATGACTCCTAAAACTACCGTTAAACGTAATTGGCTTATACCATGCAGAATCAGTTCATCAGAGGACTCCAGCAAAGCAACCACTTCATCGCCGCCATCTAGAACTATCGGATTAGCTCTTCTCTGCCTTTTACCCACCTTGTCAACTAGAAATTTGCGGCTCATAGTTACCGAGAGTCACCGAGAAACTAGATGAATTT